CAGAGTGGATTCTACCAACTTCGGTGGGTTTCCTAACGTAATAGGCTGCATAGATGGTACACGTAAGAATCAAGCTCCAACAAAGAGATGAACCGACTTATGTGAACAGAAAAGGTTACCACAGTATCAGCGTTCAAGCTGTATGTGATCCGCGAAGGTAGATCTATAGTATGGCAATATACCTGAGGAGTGACTTCCCTTGGTTTATATAAAATCCATTTCTGAAAAGAATCGCCCAATGCGTGACATTCCAGAATGTGTTCAGTCAATTCATGTATTTTTTGTCTAAAGTTCACTTCATATCAACATATATGAATCATAAATTGTGAGGAATAACTGTAATCAATTTAATGATCGTAAAATTGACAAGTACACTTAATTTGATGTATTTTAGTGAAATGAAGCACTCAAAAATGTGACTTTTAAAGCTTGTATATACACCTGCTTTGCAGGAAGGTTAACAAGCGTGTGTGCCAAGTGGCCAAGTGCAGCTCCGCGACAGCCACATATTCGGACATCTGCACTCTGTCATCATCTTGAGCAACACCACACAAGGATTGCTGGCGGTTTCATTTTAGGAGACAGCGGATACCCGTGTAGGCCTTTCCTCCTCACGCCCTACTTTAACCCACATGGACAACCAGAACAGAGATACAATGACAGCCTATGTGCGACACGTGTGACAATTGAAGAGAGGACATTGGCGGAATGGAAGCAGCGTTTCCATGTCCTACACTCTGAGGTAATATTGATACTGAGTAAAGATATGTTTCAATCCTCAGAATTTTCTCACATTAAATTACGAAGGAGGATATTATTATTATTACATAATATATATATATATACACATAAACACATATATAACATATGCGTGCACACACACACATACATATATACATGTACATATGTGTGTATATATAATATTATATGTATGTATCTCATTATTATTGCAACAGGAATAGATATGCCTAGGAACAATCAATATCTAAAGGACAAAACAACACAAAGTGTACTTGTAACATATAATTTATTCAATACAACACAAAATAATGCAAATTTAACAGATTATCAAATAATAACAATATAAAGATAAAGAATGATAAATGCCAAGATCTAAATTAAACTCTTAACAGAGGGGAAGTAAGTGTAGATCTCAACCATTCTTCAAGTTCACCCTCCATAATTTTCTTCTAAAATATTACCCAATAAATTCCAACACTAAATAATTCAATGAAAAAATAATCACAGTCCGATGGTGAAAACATATCTTTATTATTTCATATAAAAATTCACTAATATGAAATTCAACATATTTCCTTTTCATTGAACAGAAAAAGGTTTTGCAGTAAACCTTATGTCAACACCTCCTTCTAAATATAATAGCTTTAAAGCTCAACATCACACATTCCTTCTTTTTGTTGGGAAAAATATATATTGCAATATAAGACATCATAATAATTTATTGAAATATTTAGTTGTTATTTCATTATATCACATTGAACACTGGAAAAATAACAACACCTCAAAGTCCCAGAGGTAATGGCCAAAGGAATATCCTTAGCCTGATTATACCTTCTCTTATAAGTGTGTAATGCACTACTTTAATACTGTATGGGTTATGCTAGACTATAATGTTTGCTATACCACCACTGATATTCCATTGTATTACATTATAGTGTTGGGAACTGGTTAAAAATCTCACAATTGATGATTGGTTCATTACAACCGATCAATCATCGAAGAAAATATAGAAAAAACATGTAGTTCTTTTGGGTGTTTTTGCAAAATTGCACAAAATCCATTTACAAATTTTACATCTTTAAAGGATGACTAGTATGTTAGGAACATAACTTTCCTGGAATCTGTATGATAAATTCAATCATGACAAGGGAGCGAGCTTGTAGTAGTTATGAAATGTAACATACTAAACCAACCTTATGAAAAATGTTGTGAATATACTTTCTCTTGTAAGTGTACTACACACACTACCTGCTGTATATGTCATGCTAGTCCATGTTGCTTGCTGTGCCAACACTGTTACTCCATCAAACCAAACTAATATACTTTTGTATATGCTCCACTGAAATGAATGAAAATATTTGGGAATAAAAATATTGAAATATTTTTGTTCAACATCCTAAGAAATATCAATATGAAATTAATATTGTCCATTAATTACATACATGTACTGAAATATCAATATGAAATTAATATTGTCCATTAATTACATGTACAGTATATATATTATCAAATATCTATTTGGATATGTATGTGTAAAATCTCATAATTGAAATACATTATGAAATTAAATATTTAATAATTCATTATGAAGCTCAAATGTTCATGAATTTACCTAAGTGTTACTGAAAATGACATACAAAAGTAAAATATGTATTATTCCTTCGAAATAGGTGAGGATGGAACCAAGCCAAGTGTGTTGCATTGTTGTTGCTTGTGCTGTGCACAACATTGCTATTGACATGTGTGAGAGCCTGATGATGACACCAACATAGATGCAGCCACCAGTTGAGGGCATATGGAGGGAAGACATGATGGCAAGGGGATCAGAGATCATATTGCTAGGACATTTTTTGCACAATAAAGTGACTTAAACCTAGTGACATTTCAAATGTTGCTAACAAAAACTTTTAAAAGCAAAGTAATTAGTGGATAATATCATGTAATGTTCTGTTAACAGGCTAGTTTATTGTGATTGTGATTAAAGTGAGAAGAAATGTTGTGTTGATTGTAATCCTTTCCTATAACTTGACTAAAGTATTTTTAAAATACACTGATAGCTATCACCTATGTGTTTATACCTATGTTACTTCAGTATGGAACTAACTATTTCAACATGGACATGAGAAGCTTTGATGAGGCTGTCCATATATTCCACTAGTACTGTCAAGACTTTTTTTCAAAGAGTGTAATCTGCAAAGCAAGTTTTCTTTTCATTGCTTGAAGTTCAAGTTCCCCTGTCAGCACTTGTTGCTGGAGCTGGTATACTTTATCAACAACACCATGCTCTTTCCTGCTGAACATTTTAGATCTTGATTTTGAGGATTTACCACTTGTTGGCGGGCTTGATGTTGATGTCGATGCTGGCGTCGGTGCTGGGTGTTGATGTTGATGCTGATGTCGATGACGATGATGATGTCGGTGCTGACTTCAGTGCTGATGAGGATGCTGATGTCAATGCTAATGTCGGTGCTAATGTAGATGCTGATGTTGATGGCTGTGCAGCTTCCTCAGGGTTGATAATGGGAGGTGGTTGTCAGTATTCCTGATTCTGGAGGAATATCAGCCTCTAACAGATTGCATGTGCTTTCCTCATTGCCTGAAAATGTTTCAATTTTTGTTAAATCTCAGAACTTAACATCAATCTTTGAATTAAGGCAAATCTAAATTTAGTGATTCAAATTAAATTTAACATATATATGATTACTTTGTCATTTATTTGTTTTCATTGTTAAATGTAATGCAAACTGAAATGTTGAATGATCAGGGATCTATATATTTTATCAACTTTAATTAAAATACACTTTTAAATTTGGTAGAGATAATGAAAACAATGTATACAAGCATGACCTATAGGGATTAAATTACAGTTTAATTTAAACAGAAACCGTTAATGATAAGTATTTTTTTTAACATGTAATTCTACCTTACATAAGTCTAATTTCAATCACGTAAAATTTAAAGCAATCTTGTTTTCATTATTTTGGGTACTCACCACGCACCTACCACTGACCACGAATGACTGAGTTTTGGTTCACCTGGTAATTATATGGATACTCTAGCAATATCGACAAAACTTTGGATCGACCACTTGTAGAATATTGAGAAAATTGCATGCACCAATTACATCTATGATCTTGTGTTGTCGAAGGACTAAAACAATTTTTACAATTATGGGCTCCAGTTGTACCAGTGAGGTTGAAAATAATCGTTCTAGATGGGATATTAGAAGCTACTCACAGTGTCTCAAAGATTGAATTTGTTGAACAAATATATATTATATTCCCCACAGTGCAGACTGTAACCTTTAAGCTTTCAAATGCAGCTTATCCACGATTGAACATTGACAACATCTCTCACCCCAAATACACCAAGTTCAAGGTCGCCATTTACTAAAAATAGAGTGTAAACACAGCGTGCACTGACAGACGACACAAGTGATATAAGGCTTGAGAAGCGATCAGTTCTGAGGTAGATCTATTCATTAAAAAATATTATAAAACAATTGTCGGTCATGAAAATAGTCGTCAACTATGTTAAACTTCCATTGAAACTTACTTTCATTAAACCCCGTTTCGACTCCACCCGAACACTCCGCTGAAGCCGGCTGTGTCCCGCATGATCGATTATTCGGTAGTCGCCTGGCTGGGCTCTGGTGGGGCGGGCCACCTCCGTCTTCCTTGCCTGCATCACGAAGAGTCTGTAAATACTTTCTTTGCCTTAGGGCCATATTTGTCCATTTTTCTTTCACCTCGTCAACGGTTCGTGAAGCAACGCCTCTCGTATTGACTTCTTTGGTAATTTGCATCCAAATTTGATTTTTCTTTTTTTCTAGTTACCTCGTTACTGTGCTTTTCATTTAATATTTTCGAATTGCCCTCCACACAGCTTTGAATAGTGTTTTTCTTCCTCCACCGAAAAGTTCCTACTTCTTTTCTTTCTTGGTTTTAGGTTTTCGGCGGTGATATCTCGTTTGAATGCCTCCATTTCTGACGACATTGGCGGAAGTAAACAAACTATAGCATTATGGGATTGATAGAACTTTAACCACGACTTTAACCACGGCGTTAAAGATAACCATGGCGTTAGTAAAAAGCGGCAGTGTTAAACATGGACTGTACAGCGCTCTTTTAGCGTTCGGTTAGCTAGCGGCGAGGTTAAGGATTTAACAGTCGGTTAAGAGTTAACCGAGTGTTAAGATAACCGAAGTTTTGAACAACCCTTCCGGACCCAGGACAATAATCACAAATGGGTAACAGAAAAGCACAAAATGTTTGTGTGGGAAAAGTAATGGAAACTTCTGTTCTGCTGGCAAAATAAATAAAAATTCTTGCTGAGACTATTTTACTGCTTCAAAACAGAAGTTCCTTAATTTGTCTCCATTATGGAGGTGTTACTCAGCTGACAGCAGAATGCCAGAACAATTATCAAAATACATCAAACAAATCAGTAAACTGCATAATGAATGCACTTGAATCATTCCTGTAGTCCATCAAGATAACTGTCATCACTTGTCATCTACAGTGATGGGGACACCTCTTCCTGGTACTTGGTCAGCATCATATTCTGTTGATTTGCATTCCGGTTAACCTCTCGAGGTAATATGTGGCTGCTCTGAAGTACAAAAAGATAGAAGTGTTTTTATTTGTATTTAACAAACTTTATGGATAACAACTTCTTTTATTTTATAAGTGTGACGTTTTGATAAGATTCTTGTACCATTGTGAACGAATGCTTGGACAAGGTGAACTACCATACATGTATATCATGTACCTGCATCACGATATTTGGTAATATTTGGGAAACTGTGTTATACATCAACCAAGATACATTAACATGTTTTATGCTTGTTAAAAAATAGCAACAGTCAGTTTCAATGAGATAATAATAGTATTAGCAAGCTAATTTTCTTTTGGCAGTACAAACTTAAGTCCATCAAAAATCACAAGGGGGAGGGGGGAGAGGAGTTTGATGATTTTTATGGAGAAGCATGTACAATCTGAGTAACTTAAAATTTATGTACAAAGGAAGAGACCCCCTTCCCATGTACAAATACAATTATGCCCCCTCCCTCCCTCGCCTTCACATTAATTTGTATATTTATAATTTAAATATAATTATGTACAAAATTGCTGCCCCGCCCGGGTACATGTGTACAAAATTCACGACTACCCCTACCTCCCAGAAGAAAACGGGTGACCCCTCCCCTTAAAATCATCACCACCCCCACCCCTCAAAAGAGTGAAATTAATCAATCAATCAAAATAAATAATAATAAATAAATAAATAAATAAATAAAATAAATAAATAAATAACAAAAGCCATAAATAATGAACGTTCTCTTAAACGGACATTACATTACCCTAACTTTCCTGAAGCATCACAATGAATAAATAAATAAATAAATAAATAAATAAATAAATAAATAAATAAATAAATAAATAAATAAATAAATAAACACACACACACACACACACACACACATACATACATACAATAAATAAATAAAAATAAAATAAAATACATAAAAAACCCAATGTAACAAAAGCCATAAATAATGAACGTTCCCTTAAACGGACATTACATTTCCACTTTTCTCAATTCTGCACCAAGATGTAACATGTTGCATCATTACACTGTTACAAAACAAAACATTCATGTTTCTTTTACAAATGTTTCAAGACTGATCTCATTTTGGTGGTTTTGAGACAGTGCAATAGATATGCAGTTAGCTGCCCTTCTTGTTCAAAATTTCAAGATCACAAAATGAGGCCTATAGCTCCAGTTCTTTTACAGTTTGTACCTTCTAGTATCCCCCCCACATACACATTTTCATGAGTATCACAAATATTCTTCAATGTATGTACAAATGTAGCATTTATCAACTGAGACAATAAACCATTTCAGAAAAATGAATGACGTGAGAAAATGCCATATCTGAAGCCAAATGAGAAACTGACACAACCTCATACTTAGCATTTGCATACCAAATTATGATTCATCTTGAGTTTATTAGTCCCATATACTATACCCATCAGTTAATACCTATCTTGGTGTCATCACATCTACTCTTGTTTGGAGTCTGTTCTCCACTTCCTGAAAAGTAAAATTATTTATCACCAAGTGCAAACATGTTCCTTTAGCATAAAGGAATGCTTACCATTATAATATTTCTTAAAAGTGTCTCAAATTGTAATAACCTTTTTGTCATGGGTTTCTCCTTCTTTTGCATCTGGCAATGAGTCTGTTAGGACAATGCATGTGAAAAATTATATGATATTTTGCCTACTTTGGTACAAATCCAGGCATCAGCAATGTTTTCATTTCAGGGTACATATAAGAGTGAGTAGGTGAGTTAAGTTTTACGCCACACTCCGCACTATTCCAGCTATATGGCAGCGGTCTCTGAATAATCGAGTCTGTACAAGACAACCCAGTGATCAACAGCATGAGCAGCGATCTACCCAATTGGGATAAGATGACGTGTCAACCAAGTCAGCAAACCTGACCACCTGATCCTGTTAGTCGCCTCTTACGACAAGCATGGGTTACTGAAGATCAACTCTAACCCGTATCTTCATGGGTTCATATAAGAGTGGATCATTGTAAATGGTTAAAAATGTACTGTTTCTTTGTTGGCTCTAGAAATTGCTAAATATCAACAAATGCTTCATCACACACTCTAAACGAATTACCTCTTGCATTTAGGCACTAAATACCATCCATACCTGTGCTTACCATGAACTTGTTTAAACAGTGATGATTTTATTTACCACTAAGTTACCATCAACCAATGTTCATCCAGAGACATAAAAATCAGTCGAGTGCATTTTTTTGTTATTAGAAATTTACCTTTGACCCTGTCATAATTTAGTGGGTTTTTTTAGGTGTGTGTGTGTGTGTGTGTGTGTGTGTGTGTGTGTGTGTGTGTGTGTGTGTGTGTGTGTGTGTGTGTGTGTGTGTGTGTGTGTGATATTCCTATTTGAAATCGATGGCAATAACACATTCTTTAAATAAAACAACTATTTGACACAATCCAGCTTGATCATATAACCTTGGGAACATTGATAAGAAAGGTTACTGTCATAAAAACATTAGCCCTCTCAAAAGTAGTACATATTTTAAGCTCATTGCCTAATCCTCCAGATGGCTTTAGCAAGTTTCTTGAAAAGATATTTTTCAAATTCATTTGGAATTGTAATAATGATAAAAAAAAAGAATCACAATGAAAAGATTAAAGGCTGAAGGGGGACTGGGTATGGTTGATATAGAAACATTTATTGAAGCTCTAAAATTATCCACTCTTAGACAATAATTACTGTAAAAAATCATCCGACAATAATCCTTTTAATATACCTTATAATGATATCTTCAAGTATGGAGCAAATATTCACAAAATACTTAACATTGAAAACCCTTATTGGAAAGATGTTTAAAAGCATGGAACAATTATTGCAAAAAGGTTAATGCTGATTCTGACAATACTGATCACATTCTTGCACAACCATTATGGCTCAATCATAATCATAAAAACACTTATATTAGACGCTGGGCAGATAAGGGTTTATTGACAGTAAAAGATGTATGTGATGAGCATGGATTTATGCCTTTTGATAAGTTAAAGATACAATACAAAATCAGAGGGACACTATTAGACTATAACTATCTACTTCAAATCTGACCTGATATTTGGAAAAATGTTATTAAAAATACAGTTATCATTCCTTCCTACAATTCATACATCAATGTTTACCAAAGAATTGAATTTTTTTTAATAAATTGTATATTTATATACTTATCCTATCTCACGGTATGCACCATCTCTCTCTTCTACGACCATGTGTGGAAACGTGCTGTCAGCTAAGTTGAGTCAAATCTAACTGGCCTCTGACCCGCCCTGACCTCTGCCTTCACCCCGACATCAATGCCTGTCAATCATCCATCAAAGCGTGCGGCTCGCCTAAACGATCACATGACCACCTCTACTTGTCATTCTCGTCTTGGAGCTTCCAGTAATCTGTGATGTGGGGCAGGTTGGGTGGGTCCTAACGCGTGAGATAGGACAAGTATATAAATATACAATTTATGATAAAATTTTCAAATTTTTAAACTTATCTTATCTCACGGTATGCATTATCCCACGGTTGGTAGGCGGGTCGCAGATTACCCAGTTACTACTACCACCGGGAAAACGCATAACTCAAGGAGGCAAGGAGAAAGCACCAACTCCTGATATGCAAACTCCAAACTTGAGATGTTTTTTTTTTTGTGTGTTTTTCAGGTAACACCTTGGCTTACACAGCACAAAAACTCTAAGGAGTGGGCCCTCCCGAGTTAATGTGGTTTTCAACCGCAACTTTTGACAAGCAAAAGGACGCAGGAAGGCGGTGAAAGAAGGAATAGCCCGGTTGCTCAACTAGTTTAACGTTCAGTACCAATCTCCCTAACTTACCAAAGGTGAGAAAGGACTTAGGAGCAGAACGCTTTGAAAACCATACAGGTAATCGGGATCAACACTTCACTGACGTGATTGCTCAAAGAGTAGAGGTCAGTAAGCGGAATGTCGACCTTCTCTACATGTAGTACAGGACTTGCCTCATAGTCTTCTCGCCATGGTGTGACAGTACCAACACGTCCTAGTTCTCTAGGTGAGAAGGGTCTAGACCCAGGTCAAAAAGTACCAAGATATGGATAACATCTATATCTTTTATTATGTACAGAGGGCCGAAGACAGTTGCTGTGCCAGAACCAAGGGGCCAATTGATGTAGTCCTTCCACATCTGTCAGTGAGAGGTCCTGTAGGTAGTGTGAGGAGAACACAGTATCCGATCTCCAAAAACAGCCCTCCATGATGGACTGAAGGGAACAGTTCCTGTGAAGAGCCATGGTTGACGCAAGAGCTCGGGTCTCATGAGGCTTGGCCACTGCTGGCGGAGGTAGGTTAGCAAAGGTATAGGCACGTAGGATCGTAGTTCTCATCCAAAAAGCCAAGGTAGTACGGGAGACTTCCGAAGTCGAGGCAGGGATGTAGGGATGAACAGTCTCTTACGTAGTCTTCGACGATCCTGCGAGGCAGCTAGATAAATCCTCAATGCGCGAACTGGGCATAAGGAAAGATCTTCCGTGTCTTCTGGTCCCAAGATGGTAGACAATGGTGGGATCGTTAAAATGCGATCCAGTTGTCCTGGTAACTGATTCTTGGCCAGGAAATCCCACCGCAGACCAAGGAAAACTTTCGCATGTCTAGTCTTTTCAAATCGTACTCGAGACACATCCAGAGCATGCAACTCAGAGATACGGGCCGCTGTAGCCAAGGCCAAGAGAAAGAAGGTCTTGAAGGAGATATGTTAAAAGTCTTTATCCTTCAAAGGTTCATATTAAGCCGAACTGACATGAGCAAGTACAACAGAGAGATCCCAAGCTGGAGGCCGGAACTTCTGGGATTGATCAGCCAATTTGAAAGACCTTAGGAGAGACTGGAGTTCAGGAACAGTGGAAATCTTCACACCCGAGGCTGTAGCAATAACAGTGTTAAGAGCAGCCAGATAGGTAGATAAAGTTGATCCTTTAAGTTTCCTGGAGGTCCGGAGATGTTGAAGATATTCTGCCACCATCTGCGGGGATGCCGTAGTAGGAGACAAGATGCCCTTCTTCCTGCAATAAGCTTCAAAACTTTTCCACTTGTCATCGTAGAGTGACCTGGTAGAAGAACGATGAGCTGTAGTGATGGCAGTGGCAACACGTAAAGAATAACCCTTAGCCGTTAATGATTGATGTAGATGCGTCAGCGGAAACCAATGGAGTTGATCGGAGTGTGGATGAACCAATAGATCGGGTCGATTGGGGAGCGGCACGGGATCTGGTTTCGGCTAAGTCTTGAAGATTTACTAACCAACTTCTGGCTGGCCAGTAGGGCGCGACCAAAAGCAGAGTTATCCAATTTCACCAGAAAGCGAGGAAGAAGGGCCACTGGTGGAAACGCGTAAGCGTTCAGATCTTCCCACGGAATGGCCAGAGCATCCAGGTCCCAAGCTAGAAGGTCCGGTATTGGTGACACAAACCGAGGTAGCTGATGATTGAACCTCGTGGCGAAGAGATCTACTGTTGGAAACGTCATTGGAAGGCAAAGAGTCTGAAACACCTGGGAATGTAATTTCCATTTCGTCGGAGAGGGACGACTTCGGTCGAGACAGAGCATCTGCGATGACATTCTTCACCCCCGGAATGTGGTTGGCCTGCACCAAGATTTTGAGAGAATCCACCAGGTTGAAGAATCGTTGTGTCCACTGTAGAAGCCGTGGAGACCCTGTTGACCCCATTCTGTTGATATGCCACACCACCGCTGCGTTGTCCGATCTGACCATGAGAGAGGTAGAACATCCTGTCAGTGACTGATTGCTAGAATCACTGCCCTGAACTCCAGAATATTGATGTGAGAAGTGTGATCTTCGGAAGACCACAGCCCTGCCACTTGTAGATTGAGAAGGTGAGCTCCCCACCCGTGTTCCGACGCATCCACATACAGGTGGTGAGATGGAACAAACGGCTCTAAACAGGTTGCAGACATTCAATTCTATCATCCACCACTGTAGATAAGGACGAAGCTCCAGAGGTAGAGTGATTAAAGCACCGGGATTCCCCAATCTGATGTAAGGTGATAGAAATAGCTGTAACAGACAAAGTTGTAGTTGACCCCTGAGGGTCAACGCCTGAGCCGACGTCAAGAGGCCTAGGAGTTCCTGCCATTGACGGAGCGTCCTGGCTTGCGCTAGAGCTAGGGAGACCAACCGCTGTATCTGCAGAAACGATCCCTCGGGACAAACATTCTGTTGACCTGTGTGTCGAAAACAGCTCCGATGAATTGAAGTCGGCGCGTTGGGACTAGTTCCGATTTCTGCAGATTGATTAACCATCCTAAATGGCGAAGATGCTGTATCGCAAACTGCATGTGACGAACCAGAAGGGCATGATCGTTCTGTGCCTGAATGCAGTCGTCGATGTAGGCTTCGAACACTGTCCTCTTGCGATGAAGAAAACTGGTGATAGGCTTCGTTACCCGTGTAAACAGCCACGGGGCCGAAGAAATTCCAAACCGGAGAACAGGCCATTGATAGTGGATGTCCTCGAAGATGAACTGAAGGAATTTGCGATGCGCCGGGAATATCGGGATGTGGAGGTAGGCATCCTGAAGATCTAAACTGACCATGTAGTCTCCCGGCTTGATAATTGTCTTGAGGAGTGCCACCGATATCATGCGAAAATGAGGCGGGAGCTGCAGAAATTTCTCGTTGAAAGTCTTCATGTTGAAGATTAATCTCAGTTTGTCCGAATCCTTCTTGGGCACCAGAAAGATTGGAGAATAGAACCCTGGACTGGTCGGGGCTGGACCCAGGGATTCGATCGC